GCCGTCATTGTTGTTTGGCGGGTCCGGGCTGGGGATTCGAACCCGCCACCTCAGGTGTACGTGGCTGGCGCCCTAGCCAGTTGAGCCACAGGCGCCGAGCCCACAATAGAGTTTTTATGAATAAACCTAGACATCTTTGTAATGATAAGCATGATATTTTATTACATTTCTTCAAGCAATTTTGATGTCCCTTGGTAATACTTTCTTTGTGGCTGTTACAAATGACTCTTCATCAATTGTCTAGATATTTGTTTTTATAAAAAACAAATTGTTTTTTAAATCTACTTAAAAAATATCTATTGTTTTTTAAATTTGTTTTTTTTAGAGATAAGGTCTAACTCTGTCACTCAGGCTTTAGTACGTGATACAATCCTAGCTCACTATAACCTTGAACTCCTGGGCTCAAGCAGTCCTCCCACTTCAGCCTCCCAAATAGCTGGGATTACAGGCTCGCACCATTGTGCCCAGCCCAGTTTGATATTTTTTCATATGGATAGCCAGTTTTTCCAGCAGTACCACTTTTATAATATATAAATAAATTTTCACACATATGTGTTGGTTTATTTCTGACGTCTCTTTTCCACTGGTCTTTTAAAATGATTTCTGATCCAGTTATATTTCGTTTTAAATAATTATCTGAAGGCCAGGCATAGTGGCTCATGCCTGTAATCCCATCACTCTGGGAGGCCAAGATGGGTGGATCACCTGAACTCAGGAGTTCAACCCAGCCTGAGCAAGAGCAAGACCCCATCTCTGAAAAAAAAATAGCTAAGTATTGTCATGGGTGCCTGTATTCTCAGCTAGTGGGGAGGCTGATACAAGAGAATCACTTGAGCCCAAGAGTTTGACGTTGTGAGCTGACACCACAGCACTCCAGGGGCAACAAAGTGAGACTCTTGTCTCAAAAAGTAAATAATAAAATAATTATCTTAGTTATTTCTAAAATTTCATTGTAGGTGAAAAAGAGTGTCAAGTGGACATGCAAAGCTTGTGGCGAGAAGCAGTCCTTTGTGCGGGTAAGTCTTGAGAAACAGCACAGGTGGGACCCTGCCTGCAGAGGGGTTTCTAAATGGATCCCCAGCAGCCCACAGCTACTGCCATTTTCTGTCACACCGAGTTCACCAGGTACAGAGCCCCTGCTCCCCGGGCTCCTGTTTTTCAGGAAGCAAATGGATAGAGCTGTACCTTGAAAGGTACTGTCATTTGTTTCTTTTTTTGAGATGGAGCCTCAAGCTATCCCCCTGGGTAGAGTGCCATGGCATCACGCTCACAGCAACCTCCAACTCCTGGGCTCAAGCGAGTCTCTTGCCTCAGC